CCACTAACCTGCTTTCCAGCTCCATTCTCCTGTGCAGGGCAACCAAAGGAAGACCCAGCCGATCAGCCTGATTGTTTGCGATAATGTGCAACTTTCTCTGAGCATCTCAACAAGCTGGTAGTGAAGCTAACCCTTTTCGGGGCCTTGATATAGTACAGGGCTTAGCATTTGGGGTTCCACCTCCCCTATGTGGTTGCCAAATTGAATTTGTAGCCTTGAACCCCGGAACTTTTTAGACTTGTATAAGAGGTTCTCTCGTCGCCCCGGAGATGATTGGGCTCTTCTCTGTCTTCCCCTTTAAACCAGGGATCTTCTCCTGTGCCGTGCCGTTGTACCTTGCCGAAATCGCTCCCCGAAATTTAAGAGGAGGCATCATCACCATGGCGATGTTCGCCATTGGTGTCGGGGTCCTGTTCTCACAGATCCTTGGTCTTCACGAATTTCTAGGTTCCAAGAGAAGTAAGTTGGAAGGGCTCTAGCGAGGGCTTGAAGGTTCGGCCATGTTGTTGACTTGGTTTCTTCCCCTGACACAGAATGGGCCATCTTGCTGAGTTTAACTGGGATTCTCGCAGTGTTCCAGCTACTCATTCTTCCCAACTTCCCTGAAAGTCCACGTTTTTTGTTGATTCAGAGGAAGAATGAGGAAAAAGCAAGGAAAGGTAACACCAGCCACCCCTTCTTCTTGACAAACTTGAACCCGGGGCCCTGTCTAACGAAACGAAATTCGACCTTGTACACTTAGGCAAGAAAAATCAAACGTGCATGTACAGATTGGGTGAAACCAGGCTTAACAGTGGTAACTCTGAGAAGGAACTTGGAGTCCTAGCGGACAACCAGTTAAATATGAGCCAGCAGTGTGCGGCGGCAGCCAAAAAAGCCAATGCAATCCTAAGCTGCGTTAACAGAGGGATTCAATCGAGATCCAGTGAGGGACTAATACCACGCTGTAAAGCCTTAGTAAGGCCACACCTAGAGTACTGCATCCAGTTTTGGTCACCACGCTATAAAAAAAAGACGTTGAGACATTAGAAAGTACACAGAGAAGAGCCGGAGGCTAAACCGTACCAAGAATGAGTTATATCAAGAAAGCAGCAGTGGTTTGAACTGGGTATCTAGGAATGGAGGGATTGTCCCAACATGTCCCATACGCCCTGGCACCTAAAAAAATAATAATCAAATCTTAAACCAGGGTTGCAAATCCAGTCTGAAAATTGTACCCTGTCAGAATTCCAGCGATCGCCCAAATTAAATCATGAGCCTTCAAAAAACTTCAAAGGATTTATTAGGAGCGACATGCTGGCATGATCTGTATGGAGCTGACTCTGAGATATGTGATTTACAATCACCCATGACCCTGTTTTGACCCCGTTACAATCTTTGTGAGATAAGCCAGGAATGTGCTTCTGAGTTCATTTGCCGTGTGCTCCTTCCGGGGTTAGTACGGCAACTTGGAAACCGGCATAGGAATGTTTTACAAGTTGACTTACCCTCAGCTCCAAGGCGGCTGAATTTATTTGGACGTAGGCCAGGTGTTTTTCGGTCCCCCAAAAAGCCAGATCCAATTCAGCCATGAGATACGAACATCTCAAGATGTTCCATAATTGGTCTCAGAAAGAATTTGGATGGTTCGCTGTTGTTTTGATGGCGCAGGTGGGTTTGGAATGTTTTTGTGTAGAAGATCTACTAACATGGGATTTTTGGGGTGTGTGTGTGTGTGTGTTCTTTTACTCTCCTGTCCCCTTCAGTCTTGAGGGTCCTACGAGACAAGGAGGACGTTGAGGAAGAAATAGAAGAACTTCACCAAGAAGATATAGCTGAGATGGAAGAAAAAGGACTCAGTGTGTTCAGTCGGCTTACCTACCAAGGTCTACGGAAGCAAATCATCTCGGTTATCCTCCTGATAGCCGGGCAACAATTCTCGGGCGTCAATGCTGTAAGGCCCAGGCTGGGGCTGGCTTGAGGGGAAGCGGGGTGGGGGGGACATCAGGGTTGGTTGGACATGGCCAACCGGGGTCTACAATGATCCCAGTTTCCATCCCACCTTGCCTTTGGTGGCCGGGGAGCTTGGAAAACGAAGTTCTGGAGAAGCATCTGGAGAACTTCAACGTTGGCCACCATGGCATGTCAAGGAATATGGAGGGCTTTCAAATTAGAAGGTCTCTGGAACAATGGAATTGTTGGTGGTGGGGTTCTCCTTCCAGGTGTATTATTACGCCGAGACGATCTACAGAACCAAGTGGCTAAATGAGTACAAAGCTCGGTACATCAGCATAGTCTCTTCCACATTCGTTCTTCTGGCCTTGTTATTTGTGGTGAGTTCTCCACCTCCGTGTTTCTATCCATGGGGCCTCTGGCCAGTTTCGTTCAAACCCAACGGGGTTCAGTCCAGAAAACCATCCCAGTCGGAGCTGAAGAAGCTCCTTGGATGAGAAGCGAAACAGTCTTCGAAGACAAAAAAAAATAATCAGGAAGTCCGGTTGCCTCCTGGAAATAAAAAAGGCCCTTTGGGACAAACCATGACCAACTTTAGCCCAGAAAACAAACCATGGTTTGCTCCATTGGTGGTTGATTCAGGCTTCACTCCTTTAAAGTCTCTGTGCTTTCAGGCAAAGTTTTGCAAAAGGCAAATTTTGCAGCCTTGGGCATTTGAAGATATGTGGACTTTGGCTCCCAGCATTCTCCACGCGGGCTGGGAATTCTGGGAGTCGAAGTCCACGCATCTTCAACAGTGGTGGGATTCAAAAAAAATTGCTACCAGTTCTGTGGCCGTGGTTTGGTGGGCGTAGCAGAGGAAGGTGACTGCAAAATCCCCATTCTCTCCCCACCCTGCTAACCTGCTTTCCAGCTCCGTTGTCCTGTGCTGGGCAACCAAAGAAGAACCAGCCAATCAGCTGGGACTTGGGAGGGAGAGAAGAGATGGGGTTGGCGGGGCCAGTCAGAGGTGGGATTGGCCGGTTCTCCAAACTACTCAAAATTTCCACTACTGGTTCTCCAGAACTGGTCAGAACTGGCTGAAGACCACCTCTGATCTTCAAATAGCCAAGGCTGAGGAAACATGGCTTTAGAATGATGGTGGCTACGCCCAGCCAGTTTTGGCTTGTTTGACAAACCATAATTGAAAAGAATCATGGCTTAGGTTCCCTTTCCATCTTGGATCTTCTAACCCTGTAGACCTATAGCGTCGACAGCTTGGGGCGAAGACTCTTAATCCTGGTGGGGTTTGGCACCTGTAGTACTTTCTGTGTCTTGTTGACCATCTCTCAGGAACTTCAGGTATGCAGTTGAAACTTCTCCAAAACTTATTTGTCCATCCCTTTGATTGTCTCAGGTTGGGGTGACCAACTTTGGAGGGTTCCGGCATGGAGCTGAGTGTTTCCTTGGCCGGATGCCTCTCCTGTTGCCGATAAGGAGTTTTGTTCAGCTGACATATTCTCATTGTGCCCAGAGAGAAAGATAGTTACCCCTGCTTAGGATCGAACTCACAGCCTCCTGATTGTGAGGCAAGAACTCCATCTCTAGGCCACCGCACCACTCATAGCAAAGCGTGGGATGCCTCCCGCCCCCCCACCCAAATCCCATAATTTCTGGGAATCCGTTTGTCCTTCTGGGAGGACCTTAAAATTCGGCATTTTGTGAACCGCTTCATCAGTGAGATGTTTGGTAGTTCCCAACTTACAGCAGTTTGTTGAGGTAATTCCCCGTTAGGAGAATGAGCGCATACAGGGAGACGTATAGAGAGCAGTGTTGGAATAATACACACAGAGCACACAGATACACTGTACGGTAAATGTAAGTTTTTACTTCCAGAAACGTTAGGCAAAGTCCAAACAAGAATCCAAAGTCATTCACAAGTTAAATCATTCAGTTTTCAATCCAGAGATAATCCAAATATCAAAGTCCAGTGTCAAAAAACAGTTCAGTAACAGACTTACATTAAATCCAGTAACATCAGTCAATTAGAAGAAATGGAGGAAGGACAATACTTTCCAACAGAAGGAAACAGAGATACACTCTCTTCTGAGACTAAGACTAAAACAACCCAGGTTTTGGGCTCCATCTTATGGCCGTTTGAAAAACCACACCCAACTACAGTTTTGCATTTTCTTAAAGATATAGTACTAAAATGTCTATCCCGGCTTATATATTTCTAACCCAAATACCCGTTAGGTGACTTATATTCCTAACACAGTTCATTTAGTGGCCGCTCAAAGTTACAACGGCACTAAAAAGGTGACTTATGACTGTTTTTTCACACTTACGACCAATTGCAGCCTCTCTGTGGTCACATGATCAAAATTCCATGATTCGCTTAACAACGGCGGCAAGGAAGGTAGTCAAACTGAGGCAAAACCCACTTAACAAATGCCTCCCCTCACAACAGAAATGTTGGGGCTCAGCTGTGGTCATAAGTGGAGGACTAAATCTAATAAATAAATATAAATAAACTTCCTCCAACAGATGACGGTCTCGTGGTTGTCTTACGTCACTTATATTTTCCTGCTCATGCTCCTCATTGGACACATGATTGGTCCAGGTAAGGCGTCTTCATCTGGGGGGGACATGGAGGATAATTGGGGGGGGGGGGCCGTTCTGACCGCCATTTTCTCCCTCTCCTCTTCCTCCTCCTCCTCTCCCTCCTCCTTCTCTTCTTCCCCTCCCCTCCTCCTCTTCCCATTTTGTCCCCCTTCTTCCTCTTCTCTTCCTCCTCTTCCTCCTTCCCCTCCCTAATCTTCTCCTCCCCTCCCCTTCTTCCCCTTCTTTTCCCCCTTTTCTTCTTCTCCTCCTCCTTTTCCTTCCCCTCCCTTCCTCCTCTTCCTCCCTCTCCCCTCCTCCTTTTCCTTCCCCTCCATTCCTCCTCTTCCTCTTCCCCTTTTTCTTCTTCCTCCTCTTCCTCCCTCTCCCCTCCTCCTCCTCCTCCGCCCCCTCTTCCTTCACCTCCTCCTCCTCCTTTTCCTCCCGCAGGTCCAATACCAAATATCATCATAGCTGAACTGTTCCTTCAGTCCTCCAGATCAACGGGAATTGTCCTGGGGGGTTTTGTCCACTGGTTTCTAAGAATTATAACCGGGATTATGGTCTTTGCGGTTGAGGTGAGTGAATCTGAATCGGTCGCTGAGCCCCCTTCTTATTTAAACACACACACACACACACACACACACACACACACACACAGAGTGTCTATGCCTAGGGGCATTCTCAGCCATCCAAGTCATGGTGGTCCCCAAAAAGGTGCTTTTTCAAGAGGCAACTGGACTTTCTTTGTTTTTATTTTCCCTTTGAAGACTGCAAGGAATATAAATCCTTCCATTCCCCCACCATTCACTTAGAACTGAAGAAGCTTCGGGGATGAGAAGCGAAATGCCTTCAAAGGAAAAACAAAGGAAGTCCAACTGCCTCTTGATTATTTCTGAGGGGTTTTTTTTGGGGTGGGGGGTGAGAAATGTTCTTCTTTTTTCTTTTTTTTTGGAGTCAGCCGAAAGAGCCCTTTCTACATTATGCTGACTGCATAATGACTTTCGGTCTATTTTTCTCCACCAGATTAAAGTTGGATCGTACAGCTTTCTCCTTTTCTGGCCTCTTTGTATTGCTGGCTTCGTGTTTATCTTCCGGAACATCCCAGAGACCAAACAGAGCAGCTTTCTGCAGATCCGGAACCTTCTGGCGGCCCAGGCCATCAAAAGGATTAATGTCCGGGGATCCCAACGCCGATCGAATCCGTTCCGAAGGCTGGATAGAGGGAGGCGCAAAAAAGCCAGGAACATCACTTCCAATGTCCCCTCCGTGCCCGAAATTTAAGGAAGGGGCTCCTTGGCCTCCTGCTCCTCCGCTGAGATTTTTCTACTCTCTTTGTTTGCCGTTTTTAAAAATAAAATGAAATGTCTTTCTTGCGGAAGAGAATTGCTTGCTTTGAGGGTGGGCTTCGGTCAAGGAGGACGGAGAGACCGAGGAGGTGGGATTCAGCCGTTTCTGACCAGTTCTGGAGAACCGGTAGCGGAAATTTTGAGTCGTTCGGAGAAGCGGCCAATCCCATCTCTGACTGGCCCGGCCCCCATCTCTCCTCTGCCTCCCATTGAGTCCCAGTTGATCGGCTGGGTCTCCTTGGGTTGCCCTGCCCAGGAGAACGGAGCTGGAAAGCAGGTTAGCGGGGTGGGGAGGGAAGGGGGATTTTGCAGTCACCTTCCTCTGCCACACCCACCATGGCCACGCCCACCCAGTTCTCTGCCCGGTTGCTAAATTTTCGAAGCCCTCCCCACCTCCCCCGGAGAAACCAGAGGGGATAACTAGATGTCACAAAAAGGGGAGGAAGAGGTAGGAGGGATCAGAGAAGAAATTGCATTGCTCCGCTCTTGGATACATCTGGGTTTTTTAAAAAACATATTTTTATTTTTGCTATATAAAGAAAGAGCAACAGTTTGAAGATCTATGTAAACAGCGTGTTGTCTGGTTACAGTTAGCTTGAGCCATCATCATCATCGTAATAATGTTCCTTAGTACTTAGTATAATAACAGTGTTTTCTTGTCATTAATACATATTAATACTAATTCATATTAATAATAAACATATCGTAATAAGCCCTCATCGTAAAATTAGCCCTTATAACTTTAAATGTTCTAACTTCTGTTTCTGTTCAATAACCATTGATAAAACAAATCCTATATTTCAAAATATTCCTTCTCTTTAATTTCAAGTGTTAATCGAACCATTTCTGCACATTCTAGTATTTTTTTAAAAAATTCTCTTCTGTAAGGATCGCTGCCTCTTTCCAATGTTGCACAAATACAACTTTGTCCACTGTTAACTCATGTAGTTTCAGATACATAGTCCCTTTATTTTATTTTTCTGGTATGATACCCAGCAGAAATATTTCTGGTTTTACATCTATATGTTCCTTTATCATTTTTTTCTATCCAAATATGTGTTTTTGTCCAGTATGCTTTTGCCTTTGGGCACGTCCACCACATGACAAAATCTGATTATACTTCCAACATTTAGTAGGCATATCTTTAAACATCTTAGCTAATCTTGCTGGTGGGAAGTGCCATCTGTAAAACATTTTATGTAAGTTTTCTTTTGTATACAGTAGGCATTAATTTATAATTCCTATCCCACAACTTTTGCCATTTATCCACTTCTATAGAGTAACCAAAGTTACATCTGTTTAATGACTTAAATGACTTAGGGAATAGAAGGGGAACTCATCAAATTTGCAGATGACACTAAAGCTGGTAGGAATAGCCAACACCCCAGAAGACAAGCTCAGGTTCCAAAACGATCTTGGCAGACTTGAACAAGGGGCCCTATCCAACTTGAAATTTAACATGGAGAAAAGCAAGGCTGGGCTTCCCCATTATTTGTCAGAAAGTGACCCCAAGGATACCGTCGTAAATAGGAGTCCGTTATATCAAGCATCTGAATTTCAATCATATGACCGTGGGGATAGTGCAACGGTCGTAACTGTGAGAAATGGTTGTAAGTCATGTTTTTCAGTGCCAGTGTAACTTTGAATGCTTACTAAACGAACTATTGTACATCAAAGACTGTTATTTTAGTGATTTTTTTTAAAAAATGTCTGCAATCCATCTGTTCAAAATGGCATAGGGTCTCCTGCTTGGGCGGAGGGGCGGGGAGGAGGGTTGGACTAGATGACCTACAAGGCCCCTTCCAACTCTGTTAATCTGAAATGTATTGGTTCTTGGCTGCTGCAGTACCTGCATCTGGCCACCGGAGGGCACCCTTCACCGTCCTTTCCCAATTCTAATCTATGAACACAATGAACAAGTTTGCTGTATTTTATTCGATTGTGTTAACATTAATTGTGTTCCACCTGCATTTAGACTGTTTTACAAAAATGTGGCTGCG